CGATAGTAGTCACCTGTCTGATGTTTTTAACGTGGCAGAATTTGCACTCATAAGATAGTTGTGTACTGTTCAGTGAAACAGGCTTTGTATGTGTGTTTAGCTTATGCTATCAAGTATACCATACTAGCAATACAGATATTTTTGTCTCTTCTGGATTTTTTTTTGATCATGGAGTAATTGGTTGTTCATTTAAAGGAAGACATTTGTGTTCTAAAAACAAATTACACATACACAGCTGTGTAGCCAAGTGACCCAGAGAAAATAAGTTCCCATGATCTGTGTGTATGTGTTAGTGGTGGGGACCAGAACTTGTTCTTTGTCCAACAGTTCTGTTGTGCCTGACCTCAAGGGAACATGCAGCCATGCTCCTTTTGGTGTTCACTTGCCATGGGAATGTAAGAATGTGCCTCACAGTGCTGGCTAAGAATAGCTGTGTGCAGGGTTTTGTTTTGCTTTTTAAAGTTTCTTATATCTGAATTCCTGTGGGTTGTGCTGAAATTTGGGCTAAATGTTGATTGCAGTTTGAGGAAGGGTGTAAAATTGTGTGATACTGGTTGTTAGGAATTGGACATAAATGTTTTGAATTGCAGTGACAAAAGCTATGCAGCCATTTAATTTCTGTCTTTTATGTTCTTGAACAAATACTTCTGTTCAAAGATATTTGAAAAATGAAGGAACTATTTAGTCATCTGCATAAATAAATAGATATGAAGTTTTCAGATACCTGACATGTGAAAACATAGATTATATTTGTTTGTTTTGTTTGTTTGTTCTACATTGGGTGAGATAGGACTAGGATTGGCAGAATAGTTTGTTTGGTATTTGATTTTATTTGTTAAAATTTTAGTATTGGATTTTTTATTTTTTTTTTCCCTTGGAGATGTTGTGTGTGTGTGACCTCCCATCTAGAACTGAAAATTCTGTAATGGCATATTGTTGATGAAATGCCGTTCCAGTACTAATGACAAACTGTGAGAGCTAGCATTGGCTAGTTTCAAAGTTATGATTAGCAATTTGATTTTTAGAAATACGATTAGCAAAATTAACAGTTTAATTGCATGAGTTTCCTAGTGCTGTCCAGAGATGTTATTGCAAAACTGTGCAAAATATGTACAAATTAACTATGAGCACTTCTCTGTCTTAAGTAAGGAAATTAAAAAGCAGAAGAATACAGAATTCAAACAGAAGACATGCTAGTTACTTCCATGTATCTTCTTACACACAGCTTTCTCGAAGGCAATACTTTTCAAGTTATGGCCTTGATGAGCAATGCACCTTCTTCCCAAATTTGTCCACTTTGATTTAGCTTTCTATTAATAATGGTATAGGTGTTGTTGCCGTGGAATTTAGATGCTGAAAAAATCTCCAGAGCAGTTAATTAGGGGTGAGATAAGAAAGGGTTTATTTACCAAGGCTAAGATGTTACAAGACGCACCGGCAGTGCCTGAGATGTTACATTTTATAATACCCTCCATCCAATCCCAGATGTGTCCACCCTGTGGCCTTTACTCTGGACCGCCCTGGGTCCACCCCCTGAAAATGGGTCTGGGGTGCATTTTGGGACCCCCTGTTCATCCCACCTTCATCTCCCTCAGAGCACAAAGGGTACATAGTTACCCAGTTTTTGACCATGTTCTGTGGTTTAGGCCCTGATATGCTGTTCTGCCAACAATCTAGGCCTTGCCTTGACAAAAGACTCAACATTTCTATTGGATTCGGGAGTAGGATTGATATAGGGAGCATAGAATGGCGTAAGAGGGTTAAGGAATGTGTAAACAAGGGTGCTACAGAGAAAGGGATGTAAGGGAGGCTGCTTTTAGAGTCTACTTCCACTACTTATAAAACTTACAAGTCTTACAAATATTAGAAAAATAAAAAACATTAGGGGCTTAAGGCATCAGTGTCAATAGAGGGGAACAGAGAAGCTTATTTGAAGCACTTTTAGATTGCATCTAGTGTGTCTATTTTTTGCTTAAATAGTTATTTTATTTAGAATTAATGGACTCCCTTCCATTAATTGCATCAGCACATGACCTTGGAGTGTTATATGCAAACAGTGTCATAGTTCATGTAACTGATGAACTGGGAAGTTCGTGTATGAAGTGTTCTAAGTATGGTTCTGCAGTGTCTACATGCCAACACTTCCTCAGAAGCCTTTGCTCTCCAAATCCAAGCAGAGGAAATAATAATAGACAAGTCTTTACAGTAGTATTTTCCTTTGTGTTATGTGGTTGGCTGGTGGGTTTGTTTGTTTGTGTTTTTTGAGGAGGAGGTGCCTTAATTACTTTTCTGTTAAATTTTTCTATTACATTTTTAAGCGACATTGACACCAAGCACTGAGGTTTTGGTACCAAAATCAGTTTATCTTACCAGGTCACTAACTTTTTAATTTAGAATTTGTTGGCCATATGTTCTGAAACCATTTACTAGCACATAGAGTGCCTTAGTGTAAGAGTCCACAAAGTAGGTAAATAATATACTCAAATCAAATTTGTATAGCTTTGGCAATCAATGTTATTACATAATCACCTACTTTATCCAATGTTAAAGTCACAGCTATATTGGCATATTTCTTTGCCAATATATTAATGTCATGCTATCTAATAGCAAAATAATCTCCATATATAAACAGTTTAAAACATACAGGGAGCAATCTTGTGGCAGAAAGAATGGCTTATGTTCCACTTGGCAATTGGAACAATTACCAGGCCACTCTTGAACTTCTGTCTGAGGGAATAAAACTTTCTGTTTTTTAGAATTCTTGCCCTCTGGAGTAAGAAAAATGACAGGAGATGAATTGATGTTCTAATTTACATTATGGTGCTACTTAACTAAAATACAACTTTTTGTTTATTTTCATTTGTTACTAGAAATGTCAAAGGAAGACTGTTACTGATCATACTTTCAAACTGAAAACTTAGAATAAGGACTTCAGCAACTGAAGTGGTTGTGCATAGTCATATATTATCTGTTGGTTCAGAATCTACTTAAATATCAAATTTATACTTTGAAGGGACTTTTGTTTTATAAAGTAGAAAGTAACTGTTGCAATCTTGGATGACCTCCAGATCTCCTTTGAAAATCAGTTTCTTTACTAAATGAACAGGAATTGCTCTTCTTGCAATTGTTTTTGCTTTTAACTCAAATAGTAGGGATTTGAAATTTGGGGGAAAAGCAGCCAACAAAGCAGATTAAATAGACTCTGAAGTCTAGCTTTGAAATATTACTGTAGTAAATTGTCTATTTTGGATGAAATGATGTATGATTCTTTTATATACGAGAGTGAAAATGTTTTAAAAGAACGTGATAGTGTTGAGTGCAGTGTTAAGACTTTTTCATATGCTTTCCATAGGTTAATACTGTCTTTCCTTTCAGAGGAAGAGAGAACTGTCTGAGATTTTTCCATCGCAACACTGATAAAAAATCATGGTATGAAGAAAATTCTTTAGCTTTTGTATGAAAATGCACATGCTTTATGCAGATTTTCTTCTTAAATTGGTCCAAAATGAACTGACAAACCCAAAATAGGTATCAATTCCTAACCTATCTTTACAATAGCAGTCTTGTCTTAATGCTCTTAAATGCCATTTCATTAATTTATAAAATACTCTGAAAATTCTGAAGTAGGTGTCTCTCTTATGATGTGATTTATATTCTAGGGATATTTCTTGCTGGACAGTACAACGCTTGAAGAAAAACTAATGAACCACTCTCCTGTTTTATGCAGATGGGATTAGATAAACTCTGGTTTACCCAGAAAAGAATAAGCAGCCAAGTAGTTTCAAAATACAGCCTACCTGCAGTGCCACCCTGTGGCTTTCTTTTTTCATGGCTTCTATTAAACCAACCAGTTTCTCTTGCCTCATCCCAAGAGGCAAAATTACTTGTGGACTTGTAAAATGTCTGTGCTCCTGGCTGCAGACCTGGTCTAACCGGGATAGTACAGCACAGTTTTTTGCCTAACTTCAGGGTTATTTATCCCTGCTGAAACCTGCTTAGATGGAGAACCAGGAAAAGCATTTCTGAGCAATACCAGTTTATTCACCTACCACATCAAATCACTGAGCAATGGCTGGTTTGGTCATTGAAAAGGAAATATCACACTGGAGCTGGAAAGTAAAACATGTCAGTTCTCGGCAGTAACTTGAAGGACTGTGTTTATTGTTCTCATCAGTTCCAGTGATGTTATGTGTGCAAATAGTTTATTTCCAGGTAGTCAGTTTTCTAGGAAGATGGTTTACCTTTCCAGTTGGATTGTCTAGGTAAGCACAGCATTGCTTATGGAGACAGTTGATAGTATTTTGCATTTGAGACATCTGCATTTTTGTTGCCTTCAACTGAAGGATGTCAGAGAGACTTTGTTTTCAAAAGCAGCATTATGCTTTGAGGTAGTAGTGCTTTGCCTTGGCAGGGTAAGTACCTGCGTGTTCAAGACTGACTTTCACATATGGGAAGTAATACAGTGTTGAGGATATTTCACACCAAGCAAGTGCACAGGAAGGAACTTTTCAGCACTGAAGCTGTTTGGCATGCCTTGGAGAGGAGAGCCTGTTTTCTTCCTTACAACCTGCTTAGCTGTGAGGATAACTAAGGTCTCTGAATGAAAGGCAGGGTTTTATCTATCTGTATTTTCTTACTGTCATTCTGTCAGGGAACAGCAGAACAGTCTCTCTTGCCCTTTCTGTCCGGGTGGGAGCAGTAACATCACAGCTCAGTGCAGGCATCAGCAGCAGTTTTCTGGGCGTACTGCCACAGCCCACCATCTCTCCCCAGAACCCCAAAACCTGGCCTGCCACTCCGTAGTCCAAGGACAGTGTTTGATTACATTTTTGACTGTTTAAAATCAGTGCTTTCAGTGTTATAAGAGTATTTATTGTAATACTTTGACCATGCTGCTAAAGTGTTTATTTTAACAAAAGGCGCTTCCCACGCTCGTGTCTCTGTTCTTGGCCTGACGGTGTTGCCTCTGTTCCCTCGCTCTCACAAGCACTTGCTGCCTCTGCCCCAGAGCTGCTTGCTGAGCAGAGGCAGGATGAGTGACTAAGGGACAAATCAAGTCTGGGCTGGCAAAGCCTCAGCATGTGTTATTGAGACACCTCTGGACTTCAGCGTCTTCACTGAGGGCTCTGGTAGAAACGAAAAATGTAAGAGCTTGGTAAGTATCAAGTTGTGTTTTTAATGTGTCTAGGCTTTCTCTGGTAAGCAGGTGCTTATAGTCACATTTGTTTCATAATTACAAAAGTTATACTTGGCCTTCTTTTTCCCAATTCACATATTTTGCGTGTGAACTGTAAGTAGAGGTGTATGAATTTGGGGTCTGAGTTCTTGCAGAATCTTAAAGCTAGCAGTGGAAATATCTGATATTAATGTCCATACCTGTAGGTTGTACTGTTTGTTGCAAAATCTTGTACTAAAGATGGAAAGTCTTTAATAGTGAGAATTAAAAATTGAATTTTCTTTTCTAGTGTTGGCAGGAAGATTTTCATTCTTTGAAAAGAAGTGTTGTGCTTTTTGTTTATTATTTTTATTATAAATGCAGTATATATCTAAGCAAAATTATGAACAAAAGGCTTAAAAAAGAAAATGCTTAAAGACTGTACTTTATTATGGTAAAACAGTTATGAGTGGTTTAATACCTGCAGTTAAATACCTGTTTTTAGAAGTCTGGATTTCCAGGTAGGAACAACCAAAGGTAGAAGAAGTGGATGGGAGGGAAAGCAACAGAGAAGGTTTTGATTACTTGTCTTTATTTAGGAAGCTTGTTTGCTCTTTCTACCCGGCATCGGGCTTCTGCAGTACTGGTCATGTGTAAACTAATGTGTCTGTAATTTAAAGTGGTTATTGCAGAAACTCTTCAAGCTGCTATAAATTGCAATGGAAGGAGCAAGTTAATTGTACTTTAGATTTTGGAGTTTATTTTTCAAATGACTCAAATGTAAGTCATGGATAATTCTGATTGCTCTTTCTTAAAACAGAAGACAAAACATTGAAATGTTGAAATGTACACATGCATGTACATTCTTGTGTATCACAGGTCCTGACTTGAGTCCTTCCTATATTAAAATTTTGCCTGGCGAAAGGTCTCAGTTCAAGACTTTAGATCACAAAAGGACTGCAATTTTTTTTAAGAAAATACATTTAAAAACTTGTATACTTTGTATCAAATTCTTGTAAGTCTCAGCCCTGAGAATAAAAGCCTGTTAGTATTTCTGATGGCATTTCATTTCATGGTCAAAGAAAATCTCTGCTTGCTGTTGTGAAAGTGAAATTCGTGACTGTGCTGTAAGCCCTGGCATATCTTTCTGATAGGTACTTTTGTTTATGTCTTTCTTTAAAGTAAAATTAAAAAGAATTGTCACAAGAACTCACCTGTAAAACTTTCTGTCTTTAGGAACCTTTATGAAAAGATGCTTTTTGGTTTTTACAAACAGCCCACAATGGGACAGGGAAAACAGAGCTAAAAACCCAAACAAACTCTCCCAGTTTTGATACATACTGTTCCTTCAGTTCTGGGATATGCTGTGTCTAACTTGGACTGTTTGATGTTTGATAGAAAAAAAATTGCCAGATATAGCCCCTTACTGTAACTGTTTGCCTTTCTGTTGAAGGCTTGCTATGTTTACAGGGCTAAAGTAAAACACTGAATCATAAAAACTTGGTGTATTGCATTCCTAAATTTCAAAGTAGATACTATCAGGTAGAGCAGACCAAATGTTCTGTGACTGGTATAACACTACAATAATATAATGCTTTTTTAGCAGCACATCAAGACAAGACTCCTAGAAACACCGGTGAACTTACTATGGCATCAGGGGTCTCTTACTACATGAGGAAATATTTTCCTTTTTCTCTTCCTTTTTTTTTTTTTGTCCACCAGAGCTCAGCTTCTTTAAACTGTGCTGTTGGAATTTCTTCTTTCCTCTGCTTTCATTCATTTTTTTTCTCTGCAAGGGTTTTAATTTGATAGAATTTCAGTATTTGTAGTCCATACAAATAGAAGTGTTTGAATACTTGTATGACCTCTTCTTTTAATCTTTTTTGAGTTGCTAGAAAATCAAGCTGACAGTCCTGCTATGTGAAGAGCTTTTAAGAACTTGGGATATATTAATATACAAATTTTTTTTAAGCATATTTTGTACTATTACACAGAGAAGACAGTCTGCACAAGTGGTATAGCACCGTGTGGTGAACTGTATAGCCATGCAACTATCTGGAGTGCCACCATGCAGGATATACAGGACCACTGTGGGGGGGATCAGTCCCCGCCAGCATGGGTTTGTGGAAGACTTGACCAACCCAGTGTACTGCTATGACAAGGCCTAGTGGATGTTGTTTACCTGGGCCTTAGTTTGTTTACCTTAGTAAAGCCTTTGCCAGCATTTCCCACAGCATTCTCCTGGAGAAACTGTGACTGGTTGTGCCTTGGATGGACGCACTCTGTGCTGGATAAAAAATAAATGTAATAGAGACTGAGTATGACTGGAGCACTTGTACTTCTGAATATTAAGTTGATGTGATACGATCCCAGTTTAGTTGTCTGTGATAATGATTTCAAAGATATGTGCTTATCTGAATTAGCTTATGTGTGTGCATAGTAAGAAAGAACACTGTATTTCTTCCTCATTCCTGTCTTACTGGTAGCTGGGAATCTGAGGCATATTCCTTCCCACATGCCATTTTTGGATGTCCAAAGTCCAACCATGGGCTTTTGCTCCTCAGATGACTTCTTACCCCTCTGGATTGAAGGCCCTCCTGTAAATCAGTCTGAGCTTCTGTACAACAAACTCTGCTCTGAATTGTTTGATATCATAATTAAAAGGGGAGGACTTTTCATTATAATTTTAGTACTTACCCCAGTGCAATTAATGTATAATTTTTCCATTGTCTTGTGTTTACTTCAATTTGAGGAAGTACCTGAAACTTACATGACAAAGTTTATAACTGTAGTAGAAGGTTTGCTTTTTTTCTTTATTTTTATTTTTTCTTTTTATCATCTGATAAGCACAGGAACTCAAGAGATTAAGAGAACACCACCAGATACACTGTTCTGAAGAATGGAGTGAGAGAGTGCTGGATGAAGCAAACACAAGGTGTCCTTGCTTCACAAACTGTTTAGCATTGAAACACTGCAATTATTTTTAACTTTTTGTTTTTTAAGGAGAAGAGCAAGTGGTACTGAACTTGACCAGAGGTACAGATTTTAAAGGCAGCATTATACTATGTGTAAATGTTCAGAACAAGAAACTTTTTTAACTTCTCATTAAAGCTACAGCTAAATTTTTCACAGCACCAGTGCCATAAGAAGATCTGTCAAAGTACAGACTGTTCTCTCAGGGAATGGATATAATTATGAAAACTTGTATGTGAAACTGGATCTGAAAGTTTCTCAATTAAAACATGGGATTTTCCAGAAGAAAATCAGTGAGGGAGTTTTATTTTGTCTGTCATTTTTTGATTAACTTTCTAGGCCTCTGAGAGTGATTTAAGGAAGCAAAGTAACTGAGTTTGGAGCTGTAATTCTCAGATCTCTAAAAACATAGAGGTTTTTTCACTTTTTTTTTTTTTTGGGTGTATTTGACTGTTGAATCCCATAGTGACATTTAGTGTTCCAGAAAGTCTTTGTTGTGCATGGCTCCTGCTTCTGCTGGTTAAGGAAAATAATAGTTTCAATTCTCCTTAATGTTGCCTAAATAAATTGTTATCTAAAGAAACGTGAGGGCTCCAGAATCTTACAGAATAGTCATCAAAATAATGGGATTCTTAGAGAATCCAAATTCTCTTTCATAAGTGAGTTTGGTGGGCTTAAAAGATATTTTTAGCATGACAACTTTTAAATAATTGGATACTGTCTCTTTTTGACTGTGTAACTTCAGTCACAACTCATGTTTTCCACATTATGTTCCTTTGAGGATGGTTTGGCAGTGGCTATCCTCTTTTGAACCTCCAGCGCTTCAAAAACCTGTATGGTTGTTTCCATTGGTCTGTGCCCCGTGACAAGGGTGTCACACTTTCTCAATGTAGTTTTTTGGTGATGGCAGTTAAAAAAAAAAAAAATCAACAGCAACATTCAATAACGTTTTGGGACCTGGTTCTGCCAAGTTACTGCCTTCCTTGTTCCACAGCACCGAGCGCGGGTATCGGTTGTGTGGGGGTGTGGCTGCACCACCCAGGGAAGGCACGGCTGGGGGGGTGGCTTGGGCTGCAGCCTTAATCTTACAGCATAAGTAGCACAGTAATGATGGCACCCTGTCATCAGCTGGTAACTAGTTTGTGGCTATTGAAATCCAGGGGGTTTTAGTGCTGAACTCTACATCTTTGACTACTATTGTAATCATAGTGTTTAATAATGCAGCTTGCAGCTGGCATTGTGCCACCTTGTGATTATAGCAGCAGCTTAATTTATGGAAATAAACTGAATACAAGATTTGTGGTGATTCTATTTTTTTTGTTCTCTTTCTAGATCTGAGATTTAGGGATACCTTGGTGTACTGTTAAGCATATATCATATTTCAAGCTTTTGCCGAGGATTATAAACTGGTGTTGTAGCTGTAGACCAGTAGTTGTTGAGCCCAGCTCTTCTGTACAATGTGTTTGCTGTAATTTGTATTGGAAGACTTCTCTAAGTTGGTATCTCTAAAATAAAAACAAGCTGAAACCTCCCAGAGGCAGCTGAATTAGGCCTGTTCATGGCTTTCCTGCCTACACGCTCTGCTAAATAAAATAATACTGTTGTTTCACAAACAGGGAGGGTTATAAAGGTAACTTTGCTGTGACATTAAATCTGTCTTGAGAGCTTTCCCAGAAATATGAATATAGTAATTATATGATTAAACAACAAGGAAACTTTTTGGGTTGTGCACTTCCTCAGGCTATTAACCTAACCGCTAATTAACCAACAGGAAATTCCAGACCTGAAAGTTTCATTATTGCCATACTGAACTGTGAAAATATAAGTGTGTTAATGAGGATTTCATTATAGCCATCTGTAGCTTGTTTTTAAATTGTGTCAAGGCAGGAAAAACATAATATACCATCTGTTACCTAGCTATATCAAGTTGACACAAAAAATATTTGAAAAAAATCCCCCCGTTTACAATCTCTGTTGTTTCTTATTTCTTATCTTTTATTTCTGGCAACCATTAGCCCCGTGGCAGT